CTTATTGCTAAAACACCGGAACTGTGGTCACGTCACCGGTCGGTCATGTGTGGAGTATTCAGTTTGGGGACAATCACGTGGTGTGGTCTGAGGCTAACTTCGACTATTCTTGACAATTAGCTACAAAAGTAATATTTAACTGTATTATTCAACCCATGAACTCGTGAATAAAAATTACTCGTAAAATTACTTTCATCGGCCTTGCAGTGCAGTAACCCACACTACGGCAAACCTTATCAAGACACAATAACAAGAATATATTTAAGGGAACTGCCAAGAAAACTAAGACAAATTCTCTTTGGATTGTACCAAATTGTGTATTGTGAAATTCTTTAATTTTCTATCATCGATATTTGATTCTGTATTCTGTTTCCGTTTCCGTTTCCGTGATTCCGTTTCCGTTTCCGGATTCCGGATTCCGTGTTTTAGTGCTGCCCATAGTGGGTGGCTTGAGAACTAACAGCTGAGACTTCTAGAAGAGGTCATGTTTCAGGTTATGGGAAGTACATTGTATGACCTTTATTAGTTCACAATTCTCTAGAAAGGGTTTTAATGTTAATGTAACAGGTATTTAAGGGGGTCACAGGTCTTAGTTTTCTAACAGCGCTCTGTTAGCTATTATCAAACATGCCTGTTGCCATTGTTGCTCGTCTTACACTGTATATCCCTTTTTTGATGGTACTTTACCATTATTGTTAGAAACTGAAGGAAAAACTAATGGAGGTTGTCATTTGTAGCAATTTTATTTTACATGTTTGTGCTTCTTCTTCATTGATTTAAGGGCTATGGTGTTGTATATCAGGAACCCAAATGGAATTCAAACTCCAGGCCTTTTACTTTGCAATTTCTTTCAGTAGCTCTGTGATCTTGACTATTTGGTATCATGCTACTCCCAGAACATAGTGTTACAACAAGAAGAAATTTCCCTTGATGCACAGGCCACCCCTTTAAAAAAATCATTTGCCTAGAGGTTTATTCACATGAACAGACACATTTACTTTAATTCATGGCCTATCCACTGTTTTCCCACCAAAGTTTGCCCAGTGCTCATAAATTTAAGGCTGGCAGCTAAGTTAACAAGGATTATATTTTGTAAATTTTTCTTTTATTAGGACTAGAAGGCTTCCAGTGTTGCATGTATTTGGTAAATGGCCAATCAGCATTCAGCATTGTTCAGAGCAGTTTCGACAGATGTTCCCAGATCCTTGTGTTAAGGTGCTGGTGTTTTGTGATGTAATGTACAGTCACTGTATTGGTAGGTATACTCATTACTACTCTATCTCCCTTATATCCTTTGAAATGGTGTTAAAGTGCTGGGATTAATTTGCAGCTGCAGGTATAGGTGAGGGTTCCCAGTATTAGGATTAGGGTTAAGCTTCAAGTTAGAGGAGCTTTAGTTAGACCTGCAACGCAAATAATATTGAATCCTCCAATCTGAAACTGGATTGGTTGAAGTGTTCTGTCTCCAATGTTTCTATTGAAAAGTAAGTTTATTTAAAAAAATCAGTCCTTAAAAGGTCTCCTTGAGCCTTAGAAAGTGGAGGAAAATTGACATTTTATAATATGAGTTTTAAGGGCCTATACAAACTTTACAAACCTATACAAACAAGTGTATTGTAAAGACAAAAGTGGAACTGTCTCTGGAAATGGAGTTGAGAGGGCTATTGTAGGTCAGAAAATATTTCCAGCTTCCAAACATGCAATAGTATAATAGTGCCATGAAACTAATGCACACACCCTCTTGATAGAAATGGATGCCTCATTAAAAGGCTTTTATGATGCATCCAGTTCATATGTGCAAGGGATGGTTTATAAAAAGAAAATTATTGACTTTGAAAAAGTTCCCGCTGTGGGTCAAATGAAACAGGATGTGTTAACTGGCTAGTTGTGCTTGTCAGTGAATGTTTCACATGTGACTAGAATATTTCTGAATTTATGTTATTATGTCATATGGATGCCTAGCGTGCAAGAGCAGATGCCAAAAAGGG